GTACATTGCTGGCTACTGGCCTCCAGCTAGACTTTGTGCCATTAGGTGCTCATTTTCTCTTTGGAATTAAGTGCCTGAAAGTTCTGTCAGTCTTTTACCTGCAAAGTTACAACACTGTCCTTCGTTACATCACAAGGACCTTTGGGAAGTGCAGGTACCCAAGTACTCCCAAACCTCTTGCATATTGTATTAAGGATTATGGAGGAGGATAGAAAAATACAGATGAGCAGTCTGAGATGGCAGACTTTAAGTTCTAGAACTTTTTCGAGGGTAGAATGGGAGCTTTTTAGCATTCCAAGAGAGAAAAACATGAATCTCTTTCTAGACTTGATAAACCATAATCCAAAGTCATCATATATATCTCTTACTGTTTGGTTTCTGTTTGGTTTGTTTTGGCTTGGTTTTTTGTTTGTTTTTCTCAAACCTGAAGAACAATAGTCTTACTAGTAGAGCAATTACTTGTAACAATTAAGTCTTCTCATATACAGAAGGCTATCCATGTCTCTGCTCTGTTTCCTAGTTTGCCTGTATTCCCCTCAAAACGAGGGCTCAGAACTCTGTGAGGTATTCAGTGTGCACACAATAGACTTGAGTAGTGAAACAATTTGTTTTCTGTTTTACTCAAATGTGTTTCCTGAAAATGTCTACCGTACTTTTTGATGGTGACTGGCCAACCAGTTTCACTTTTCAAGGAAGTTTTTCAATGGGATTTTGTAGGTCTTTTTCCTGTGTGGTAATAGCTAATTTAAAAACAATGATTCACTTTCCTTAGGGTGGTATTTCCCATTAAGTTTTGGATTGGGAGCCTTGTGATGCTAGTACTGAGCACCAGGATGGAAGTTTAAGGGAATCTTCTGTGAGGCTTTGCAGTCATATTTTGAGCTAGTTGTCTGGATAAGTTCGGATTCTAAAGGAACTTTATTGCTGCGTTATATGTATTGAATAGTATAGTTTCCTTTGGGATTTCATTGGTAACTTCTCCATGAAAATTTTTCTGCTGCTGTTCCTCATCTTGGACCTGGCTGTTAATATGCTCAATGTTCTCTCAACCTGAGAGAGCTTAGTTTTATAGGTTAGGAATCCTCACAGAAGGAACCTGGTTAAACATTTTAAAATGTGTGTGGTGTGATTTCTTCAGCAGAAAAAGCTGGTTTGGAGAAACCTGTCTCACAAATCTCTGAATTGCTGCAATTCAGCTATTTGTTTGCCTATGTTTTTGAACTGAATCTGGGAATAATTAAAAAATGAACAAGTTCTGAGTTTTTTTTTTTAACAGTCCAGATCAGTGTTTGACTCAGTATAGTGCACTGGCATATGATGTTGGAGCAATACTGAGGAGGTTGCAATGGGAGGGAACAAGGACCTCCTGGGAGAGCTTGGTCCCTGGAGAAATTGATGTGTGCTGGTCTCATTGATTTTAAGATAGGAAGTTGTGGTGAATAAAGAGTTCATTGATTTCTTCACCATTCTCTTAACAGATGTGAGAAACATGCTGTCTTTTTGTGTGCCTTCCTAGGTCAGTACTGAAGTTCACTGGTGCTTTCTGGGGCATTAGATGCTTTTGAAAATTTAAGTGTCAAAGATGATGGGAACTGCATGCAAATAGAAAATTTTGGAAAAAGATGGAAGTAGGACACCTTCTGAGAGCTCTGGCTAAAGTGAGAGCTACTGTCTGGAATAGTCTTAGAAGTCAACTGTCAATGCCTTCTACTTAATGCTGTAGCCTTTCAGCAGTGTATGCTTTCTTTCCCTGCAATCCTCTGCTAAATTTAGTATCAGCTCTTTTCTGAGACTGAAAATGAGTATTATGTTTTTTGTTGAAGATGGTCTTTGTTTGCTTGTCATAGAAACAAGCTCTTAATGCCACAATTAATTAATTAGTATATCACATTGTCGTACTTCTCCAGTAGGAATGTTTAAACTGATCTTTCCTCATGTTTTTTTCTGTGTACAGGGTTACAACTGAGAATTGAAATTTATTCAGAGGAGAAAAAATGATAGTATTCTTGCGGTTTTAATACATTGCTTGGCCAAAAGTTTAAAAATTTAATCTGAAGGGAGGAAGCAACTCGTTTGTTATTTTAATGCTGTCTGATAGATATCTCTTGCATGGAAACTGTAATATTCCGAGTGCTCGCTGATTTACTCGATGAGTACAGTGTAATGTGATCATTAGTGAAGTGTATATAATCGGTTCTGTTATGGTCTCAGACCGAAGGAAATCTTTATCCTGCACAAGCTTATTCTCTACAAATTGCATTGTGGCGAGGAGAGACCCAGTGGTAGTTGGAGATGTGCAGCTATGTTGCTTCTCATGTCAGCTCTCCACATCTAAATTGTGTGACAGGACAAGGGAGCAGATGAGACAAGCTGTCACTCAGCCACGCTGCCCTTTGAAGAAAGGCCATGGGGGGGAAAAGGTGCCGCAAATGGGCTGTGAAGTTTACATACACTGCCCACTGTTAAACAGATTACCTCTAATGAAGTGTCTAATGCTCAGGCCATATCAGCCTAATCCTTGGTGGCAGTTCATCCCTCAACTGCCAAAAAACACCGCCCTCTGGCCCTCTCTCGCCACTCTGGCCGCCAAGCACAGGGAGGTGCCCGGTCTTAATAAAGCAAGACAGTGTGTGATCTGACATGCAAATGTAGGTCATTGCATATGTAAATGTGTGATTACAAACCTGCATGCCAAAACACATTAGTGAGACTTTGCTCTCAGCATGCGGTTGTCACACTGCCTTAGTAGTTCACGCTAATATTTGTCAAGTTGCTGTGCAGAGGCTGCGACTCCCAGTTCAGATGGGAAGTACACAATACTTCTGAAATATAGCCTGTTTAGAGAGCCTGGATCTCGCAGCTCTGCGTGGAGAATTTAAAATCTTCAAGTGTAATTTTAGACATTTTCTCTAAAAGCCCTGTAACTGTCCCGTTAAGCTGGGCCCTGTGCTTGGAATGCTTTGGAATATATTCATGTTGCCCTGCTTTTGTTGAAATGAGTAACTTCTCATGTTTTGATTTCTGGAGCAACAAAAGAATATATAAAAATACATTGCATAGCTATTCAAAGATGGATATTAAAATACTGACACATTTGCATTAAAATACTGTCATGCAATCTGATTCTTTATTACCTCTATCTCTTTTTTAAGTGTGTGGTTATTGTGGGTTTGGGTGGGGTTTTGTGGGTTTGTTTTCTGTTTTTATTTTTGAATGGAGGGAGCTAGGACATAAAAAGGAAAACATGGCAAATTAAAGCCTGATGGGATTTCTTCTCTTCTATGCTCAGGCTCCTGCTAGGCTGAAAACGTTTTAAATACATCTCAACAATTTATAATTTTAAGTTCTCTGCTGATGATATAATGGAGAGTTTCTTTAGAGCATCTTGTGATTAGTCTGGAACAGTTTTGGTTTTAATACATTGGAATGAAACAATTTTAACCCATTGGAAGGAATATGGTTTAAATTATCTTTACACTGGTGTAATTAAGTCTTACTGACTTATATGCAAACATTTTTCCAATATCTTTGGTTCTAGAAAGCCTTGCGACCTGACATGGGCTATAATACACTTGCCAATTTCCGAATAGAGAAGAAGATTGGCCGTGGGCAGTTCAGTGAAGTTTACAGAGCAACTTGCCTGTTGGATGGGGTACCAGTGGCTCTGAAGAAGGTTCAGGTAAGGGTGATATTTGTATAAATATGTAAAGGATTTTATGCAGTTAAATTTGAAAGGCATGTGCCATTTGGATGTGATCGTAATGAATTTTAGAATAGTTATAGATAGTAGGAAATTCAGAGCTTTGAAAAATCTGTGACATGACTTTGTATAGTATTCCCCAAACCAGTGTTTGGAAATTGAAAGTGAAGTCCAGAGTGGGTGGGAAAAGATAACATATAAATTAGCTGTAGGAGAACAGTCCTCACCAAAGGTTGGAATCTATAAGTAATAGGAATATTTAGTGGTGTCTAATGTGAAAACATATGCAAATCTATGCATATTTTATTAAATAAGCATCTGTAATTTTTCAGTTAAGTAACCATGCTTCAAAAGTGCATAAATTAAATAAGGTGTGTATGTAATCAGACTTGCAATAGTAAAAAGGAATTATAGTTTCAAAAGACCATAAACTACTTGAGACAAACATAAACCAAAACTGTGCTTGAATCCATAGCTCAGTGTTTTTCCTTTAGGTTCCAGGATATAATTAATTTTGTATTATCATCTTCATGAATAATATATCTGTGTGTGGGATCCTATATAGTAATTAAATGCCTCTATCCAGTATCACTCCTATTCTGTCTTTTTGTTTGGACCTGCTCAGAGATGTTTGTTGTAAGATGATGACCCTCTAAAATTTCTCTACTGGATTGACTTTGAAGGTTCTCTGACAATGTGTTTAGTTTTGAAATCAAAACTTAAATTGGTTTTGGTTCTGATCTCAAGACAAGTTTAGTGTAATACCTGAAGGAGTACTGCCATCAGTTCTGAACAGGCTTTTTTGCTTTTTTTGGATTGCAAAACAATGTGTCAGATTTTGTAATTTCTAGTGTTTCTAGATTTTAATGATTTTATTTTTGCTGAGCTAATGCATGCACTGTAAATTTCTCTGTCATATCTTGACTTGCTGTTCCATTTCTGATTTCCTGTGCTCTGCAGCACCAGGAGGCAGGACTAGTCCTGACAGTCATAAAAAAAGAGACTTGGTTCCCCCTTCTGGGAAAACTGCCAGATATATACTACTTCAAAAGCTGAAATATATTCTAAGAACTTTGATCAACAGTCTTAAAACATTAGGCTAATTCTTCCTTCATTTTCAGTGTGTGAGAAACCCAAAAGGTTAAAAGTGACTTGAAATGCATGTCAATTAAGGTGGATATGGAATGTCTGGGTACTTGAAGAAAGTCATAAAGTCCAACCATGAAATTTTTATAACAGTGGAAATACAGAGGCATTATAGCGTGTGTACTCCTAACAGTATTTGAGGAGTTGGTATGTATAGCTGTATTCTCACATCTGACTTCCCAAATTGACAAAAGATTTTTTCAATGTATGAAGACATCATGCTGTCTGTATACAGGTGATGGTTTCTATAGTAGAAAGGCTTTCTTGTTTAATTTTTATGTAATCCTTTAAGAAATTTCTAAGAATATACTGTTAGTTGGAAATAAACAATTGTGGCTCTCCCAAATGGCTTTATCCTGAGAGGGTTCCACTTGTCTTAAATTGTCCAACACAGGTTGTTGGTTTTCCATTGAAAGTTATTACCTGCTGCACATCAGGAGGGACTGTGTTCTGTGATCTGTAAAGTCTCTTCCCCTGTGGAGGCTGGATGTATGTAGGAGACTTATTATCTGAACAAAAAATGAAACTTGGTTAACCTGTAAGGGGAAGACATTGCTAAGCATAGAATGACATATTACCCTGAGCTCAAAAGGCTTATGGCAACACTGAGTGTTTGGCATAGCCATTTCAACTTGTGTAGTTACTGTTCCTTTTGGACAAAAGACCATCTTAGTTGTTACTGTGCTTCTGTGACCTTTCCTGAGATTCCATAGAAATATTTGTGGTAAATACAGTTACAGTACTTAGTTTCACTAACGAATTTGTTTTCATAGATGTCTTTTGGTGAGAAGTGATTGCTTTTCAGAGGAGCTGAAAAATGGGTCTGCTCTGTGATAGAGCTTCTTCCTTTTAATTTCAGTCATCTTTGATTTTATCCAGATTAAAATACTGCCTCTTTTCTGATGCCTCATTAGTGAACGCTCAGCATGTACAAAACAGGAGGAATGCTTCTTTCTGTTGTGAGAGAGAGGCTTTATTCTCTCTATTTTAGGCCTGTGTATGGATACTGCTTTCCTCACTGAGATAGTATCTCTAAATGCTCTACATTGTGTCAAATAACATAACCGAGAGCTGAACTTTCCTCTACTTTCCCATTATCTGCCCAATCTCATCTCACATCTCCTCTATTACATGCCTTTCTCTCTGATCTTGCAAGTTGTGTCTGTTCCACTCCTTTCCTATTTTGTGTTCCTGACTGGGTTAGGTACATACCTGTTCTCTTTATGTGTATTCAGTCAGTGGTTCCCCATGTGTATCTCTAACCATCAAGGGCTAACATGGCTTAGAAGCCTTCAGTTATCCTCTCTTTAAGAGTTGCAGGATCTCAGACCATTATTTGTTCCAAAAGGATTGCCAGTTTTGAGTTCTTATGAAGCTTTCCAACAAGCATGTTTATTTTCTAATAAAATGAAATTTGGCTGAAATATGTGCAATATTGATAAATGTTATATTAATGTGTACGGATGTATGTCTGTGGAACGAAATGTGAGCAGAAGCAAGTGGCAGTAAGATGCTGTGGGAGAAAGGACAAGCAGATGGTGACAGAAACCACTCTTTCTGAATTTGTAGCTGCTGCTGAGTCCAGATGACAGGAAGTAGTATTCTTGATTTGGTTTTCTGTAGGATATGTAGCACAGTGAGAACTGCTTAACTTGCAGGGTTTTTTAGTAGCAACTTAACCAGCAGAATATATGAAATAGTATATAATGTACTGCTATGGTCATAGTTTATCTAAATTATAGAGTTCTAGATAAGTTTCTTTACATGGATTAAGTCTCAGGTCCAAACTGTCTTGAAGGTGATGCCTGAGGAGGCAGCAGTACCTCTCTGCTACTGCCACCCTTGGGAGCTGATGAGCCCTCCAGTAGTCACTTCCAAGGGGGAAGTAAGCAACTACTAGATACTGGAATAAATGCTCACAAAAAACCCTTAAACAGCAAAAGAGTTGTAAATATCTAGTGACTGTATGAGTTCACTTTATGACTTGTTTTTAAAGGAAACTTTAACTGCTCAAAATTTAAAGTATTATGTACAACTGCATTTTTGGACAAAATTCTAGATTGATTACATTTCTGCCTTAGATTGTTCCACCTTTCCTTCCCTTTCAATCCAAAATTGGAGGCTCTGTGTTAGAGATTCAGACAATGAACCCTTTTATCTAGCACTTCCATTCATTATTCATTGTGCATTGTCAGTGGATTGCTACTTCAGGCCTGAATTACAGTTAATTAATCTTAGAAAAGCTCTTGTAATTTCACACTTTATGAAGCACTATTGTCTCAGCACAGCAGTGCAATGGTGGCAAAATACACCTATGCTTTTCTTGCTATTCACTATTATGTCTCTTAATATTTATGTGCATCCAGGTCTTGAATTTTCTTGCCTTTCTGAAGGTTTCTGTTACAACAGTCAAGCTTGTGTTTTGCTTTGGAAATGCTTTTCGGTATTTTTTAGAGAATTTCAAACAGAAATAGATTAAATTGTCATTTAAGTGATAGGGTTAGAAGGGCCTTTATCCTTTTCAGTTTTGAGAGGGAAAACCTAGAAAAGTGATGGACTTCAGAGCAAGTGGAATCAGGTACATTCCCAACTAGGCGTGTTACTTCAGGTGATGAGTTCAATTGGTAGCTAGTAGTTAGAAGCTAGAGCCTGATGTTTTCCATCAGGTAGTTAAATGTTTCAAAACCTTCTTTCTGTGCCCACAGCTTTCTAGGAGCTCTAGTTGCATGTGTGAGCATGTATGTAAGAACTTTACTCAGGAAGTTGATTTCATGTATTGCAACCTCTTTGTTTAGTTTACACATCTGCATAGGAACAGCTCCTGCTCCATAGCTTACATTAGCTTAGAAATGTCTTCTAAAAATACCAGTATCTCTTGACAGTACTTACAACTGACATTTCTGGAATGCTGAAAGAATAAAATTCTAATCTATGCTCACATGAAGGTACTGGAGAAGTGGTTGAATGCCAAAGTATCCTTTAGGTGCATAGCACACAGAAGAAAATGTAATAATTAACACTGTATGTTTTGTCCTTTTACTCTTCCTTTGTATAATGTTGATTGCAGGGTGAGATGAAAAACTGACAGCTAAAAAGGGACTTAGTATTTCACTTAAAGTGTTTGCTAAGTGGAAAAAATACTGTGAAGGGGTTTAAAAGTGTTCCTTTAAGTGTCTTCAGCTGTATTTGCCTAATTTTTAAAGGGATTTCACAGTAATTGTTAGCTAAGGTACAGTCCTTACCACAATAAGATTTTTTTAATTAGAGTCTTTGGGAAAACTGTCACATCATGAAAATATTTGCTGTGCATTTTTGCTGCTTCTTAGGGGTTTTTTAGGCAAACAATTCCTTTTTAGAGATGTTGATATTATAGTCCTTGAAAACAGAAACTGGGGGAAAAGAGTTAAAGTTTGGAATAAGAGTGTATTACATTGTGCAGTTTGTGCTGACTAGAGAAACATACCTCCAAGCTGAATTCCTCTATGATCCTGACCTCTTAAGTGGAGTCAAGAATTAGAATTTATTGTTAGTCTAATGAATGCCTCAGCAGTTTAATCAAAATGCAGCAGTTTTTCTTGTTAGCCAATTAGAGTGGTGCTAACACTTGTGGTCTAATTACTGCCAGTTTCCAATAATCAATGTATGGAGCATCATCAGTGACCTGAGCTCTGTTGGGAGGAGGATGCTGGTACTTGCTGTACATGGAATTTTGCTGGGTGCTTTCAAGCAGTGAGTTGCTAATGTTTTTGTGTTGATCCAAAAGCTTACAGATATTAATCATTCTGGTTTTGTTAGACTTCTGTTGTATTTGCTATGAATTCCTTAACACCATGCACTTGCACAGAGCTGAGCTGAAGCTAAAACCAGGCTAGACACAAGTCATTTGACTACAATGACTTTAAGTCACTCACCTGCAAGGCATGTGCTGCTAGGGCTAAAACCAAGCTCAAAAAAGGAAAGCAGTCCAAGACAGGACCAGACATAAGGTTGTGAGTCCTTAGGCAGTCTGAGGCCTGTGACCTGCTGATAGCAGTGGTGGTGCTGTCTTCATGGGGCTACAAGTTGTGTGGTCAGAGATACCTGTGTGCAACACTCATGCTGGAGTGAGGGGAGCAATAAGCTGACCTTTCAGGTTGGCTTGTTGAGTAACAGAAGCTGAAGATGGAACTAGTCTGCTTGCAAAGCTCTAAGCTGTAGCAGTCGTGATGGAAGTACTGACATCACTTCACAGTGTTATGTTAATGGCCAGTCTGCAATAAACACAGGCAAAGGACACCTTGTCCTGCTTCGTCAGCTGCTCTGTGGCAGCTCCTGCTAAACAAGCCTTGAGAGTGTTGCCAGGTTCCATGTGTAGTATTGACGTGCACTTGAAAGGATGTTCTAAAAGTCTTTCGTTGCAGCTTCCATTTTTCAGAGTGAGACGTTCTTCGGTGTTGAGTCATCTTCTGGTGATGAAGCATGGAGGTTTTTACGTTGTGTTTATAGTAACCTCCAGTGTGAGCTGACATGGCTTATTCCACTAGAGTCCTCTGATCTGAACTGCAGGAATTTGGCACAATAGGAAGATAATCTATTCAGAATGAAAATCTCTGAAAGCTTTTTGAATCTGGAATGATTCGGAGGTTCATCAGAGGCCTTGGTTTGCGTGATTTTCTTCATTTGTTTGCTTTGGTTTTTTGTTGTTCTTCTGGGTTGTGTTCCCTCCCCCCAGTGTTATTGTTGGAGGAGGTTAATGTCTGTGAAACTGAAATTCTGAATTTCTGGGAAATGCTATTTATAATCTTTTGAAGTTAAATCTGGATCAAAATTTAATGGAGAACCACAAGAATGTTAAACAGTAAATCTTCAGACCGTGTATCAAATAAGGCTTAATTTTTTCTGTCTTATTTAATTTAGGTAATGTTAGAAATACTTCAGTTTAGCTGAAGCTGTGATGGACTTGCCACTCTACTGTATGAACTATACCAAAACTATAGAGTCATGTTTATAAAACTGAATTTTGTCCTTTGGTGAGAGCAGCTACTTGGTTTAGTCTACTGTAGGAAGTTTAATAACGAATTAGAAGTGCTGGGAATGCTATCCAGAGTGCACAAACAACTCTATCCTATGAGGTAATTACAGATCTTTTTCAGTTCTGAGTATAGAGCTTTATTTTTGTTGTTTTGTTCTTCTATGAGAAGTACTGATGTATGTCACTATCAGTGGCATAGTTAATAAAACATTTTTTTGCAAAACCTGCTTGTTTAGGTGTGTAGGGAATAGGGAATTAAGAATAGATAATTTCATATACCTCTTGGCATATTAGAACAGTCATTAACAAGTTTTGTTACACGATGAAACTCTTTTGGTTTGAATCTTGAAATTATGCTTTGGTAGTTTACAAATCTTACAAATAGATAGTTTGTTGTACAGTTTTCAACCTCAAATTCTGTCTCTGACTTTGATTAGGTTCTTCAGTGTGTTTAGAGTCAAATCCTGTATCTCATATACCTCTTGGCATATTAGAACAGTCATTAACAAGTTTTGTTACACGATGAAACTCTTTTGGTTTGAATCTTGAAATTATGCTTTGGTAGTTTACAAATCTTACAAATAGATAGTTTGTTGTACAGTTTTCAACCTCAAATTCTGTCTCTGACTTTGATTAGGTTCTTCAGTGTGTTTAGAGTCAAATCCTGTATCATTTACAAGGAATATTCTTCTCTCACTCTTATCTAGAGCTTGGCAAAATTGTGAAGCTTCAAGACATGCCCCTATTCCTTTTTTCCCCCTGCTCCACTGTACACACTTTCATTGAGTTCTTTTTTTCTTCTTGGGAGAGCGTGTATAAAATTTTCCAGTTGCTGCTCTCTC